AAATACCATTCAATAGCTATCGGTAATCACTATAAAGTGTTATTAACTTCTTGAAAATGCGAATTTACACATAGTGAGCTCGCGGTACACGTATCAGATTATAGGTTCATGACGCCTACATCTGATGGTGTGTAGCGGTTTGTATGTATAAAATGTATAAAAAGATAATGAGGCTATACATATTTATTAGATATAACATAAGGTAAGAAAAGGGTCGTGAAGCGGGGTGAGTATGGTCAAGGCTGGACCATCACTCCCGAGCCCCGGCTAGCCAACGCCAGCCTCCTTCGATACCGTAACCTGGGCCACGCCCCTTGACAGTGGACGTGGACCCGACACCGCATCATTATGACGCACCCAATCTCGCTCAAAATTGGGTAAAATTGTTTCGCAAAACAGTTGTGCCGAATAATCGGCTTTGTATTGAATAAGCTTGCATACTATATACATTTCTGTAAAGAGAATGGGAGGTTTGGAAGGTTAGCTTGGGTTGGTAATGGAATATCTGATACATTTCCAACTTCTGCCTGTGCCTGTAGACTATAAAAAGCTGAAGAAGCGGAGAGGTAATTAATCTTAGCCCAATCATGCGGAATTTCAATTACTATGTCGGCGAGCTAAATCCTACACCCAAAACTTTATACAGAATATCTCTCATAGATTATGTCTGTAAACCATTCTAAGCACAAATTAGGAGGATTCCTAATAATTGCTGGAATGTTTTTAAAAATTTTGAATGCGCAAAAAAGAGAACTTTAAGGTAGTACTCACCATTAGGTGCAATTGTGTCACTCCACACACAGGGTGGTACCCACTGGTAGGTGGCATTGTTGCCAGAAGGTTAATTATCAGGTTTTTCTGAGGCCGCCGTCACTCATATAGTGAAGTCTGCAGTGCAGACGCACCTGGCCCCGGATACAAAAAGTACCTGCTGTAGCGTGCCGCATATGATATTGTATTACCGAGTGAATTGTGACGAGAATTTCCGAATAACATATAAGTGAGCACGGGAAAGAATGAGGTGTAAAGACCGACCACAGGATGGACACCAGCAAGGAAGGCATAGGCTATACCTGAAATCGAAAGACCGTCAAGTCCATGGTGGAGTGTGGAAAGTCGTGCTTATACCATACCTTGTGGTACGTGCATGATACCTACCATAACGCCTCCAACTACGTCGTTAAGTAAGTTATTTTTTATGTCGTACCTTCAGATAATCATTTGATCACTAGGTCATATTTTTAGACAAGAAGTAAACAACTGTAAAGTGAATATCCGCGAAATCACCTGGGAAGCCAGTGCAAAATAGGTACAAACGAGAATAGCGTTGTCCAAAATAAATGTAAACTTGTGAACGGTCTAGTGAATCTAGAGAAATATTTTATCGTTGCTGTGAGAAGTCTGTTTTCCGTATACGGTTCGACATATTCGAAACGTTTGTCGAATTCAACCTGAAAACTCGCTTACTTATTATTCGCTACACCGCTTTTGCAACATTTGGAGGAAAACTGGAAAGAATCAGTATAATAAGGAAATATATGTGAATAAAAAATGAATGAATCAAAAATAAATAAATAAAGCCGTCAGTGGTCTTTTTGTCTGGTTTTTTGATACGTCACCCCACAGAATAACGCAGTACAAGTGAAGCCCTGAAGAGTCGAGATCAGGAAGAGTGGTTGAGACATAAGCAGATCAAGAGCATGAGTGCTGCGCGATGTTTGTGCACAGGTGGTCTCCCTGAATAGATGTGCTACTGCAAAATAGCATAACTCAGTGCTTTGCGGAACACTCCTCAGGGAGAGCATGAGTCTGCAATGGGTTCTTAGGGACTAGCCATGTTTGAGCTACTTCTTTCATGAAAAGAGTGCTATCCACGTTAGCCCCGCCGATTGGCCACTCGAGAACATAGCGTTACCTGGCGCGCTGCAGTATAGATGCTGTCTATAAACAACTATTTCTAGGGGCATAACAGGATTTGAAGCTTATGCGAATTCTCGTTTTCCAGTACCAGAAATTGAGCAGGGTTATTAAACTTGAAACGCGAAGAAGAGCTTCTGAACCTAGTACTAACACGTCAAAGTTGCATTCAGTGTAGCGCATTGAACCAAGGTAGTAGTTGCGTGTAGCACAAAATGTCGAGACCGGCTTGTGCCGTGGCGCGACGGCGGTGAGTGACGAGTTTTGTAGGGTTTGCGATCATGAATGATAAGTAGTATCGGAGGTCAGATCACATGGCGCCAAGCGAACTCATTTGCGTTTGAATTGTGCTAAGATGGAGGGTGTATGTTTCAATACATGTGCAGACTGCTCATTTATACAGTCATCAGAGAGATCGAAAAGTCTTTTAAGGCCCGGAGTCGGGATTGATTTTGAATGTCGATTATGTGTTCAGAAATTAGCAGGATGCCGAGACATTGTGAGGAGACAGAAAGCACGCATAGAAACGCTAAACTTCCCTCAGGATGCTGGCCGTAGTACGACGGAGAGACACAGCGCTGCGAGGAGAGGGAGAACGCGATATAGTATGTCGTACGCGAGAGGACGCAGAGACCACGTATTCCGTGTTGGACTACGCTGGCAGCGCGGCAGCGCGGCGGGCAAGGCCTTAGCGCCATTGCCGCGCATTTTGGGTCGCGATAGTGTCGCGCCTCAGTGCTTGGAGAGGCCACCATGCGCACTCTGGAAGAGAACTTCTGCTGTTGCCTAAATCTGACTCGTGGCTTTAGCGAAACTAGATGTCATTGTGAAAGTTGAAAAAAATGTTTTTACGGTTCCTAGGTGTGAAAACTGTGTATTCTGGCAGATATGGCGTCATTTACAATGCATTTAATTCAAAAGCATGACATACCTTTCTTTAGAGCATATGAATTAATGTAATCATGAAATCCGATTCGAATAGTGTTCCTAATACCGCAAAGCACGGCTACTGATAAATAATCAAATAACAATATAACACAGTGACTCTACCATGTAACGATGGGCACGGTTTATGCGTAGCGTTACGATCTCTTAATTTTAATACCTAAGTAAATTTGGTTCACACCCAAGTAAAAGGAGGCGCCTTATTGAGGGTGAACGCAGTCAATTAAGGAAAATGGTGCCCTTCTAGAGAATAACTTGGAACCATGTGAATTGGGGGGAATAACGCATGAAGAATCATTGATCAACGGAATTCGAAAGGGGCACCATTTGAAAACTGCCGGCGTTTACGCCGTGCAAGTGGACCGCGCGCGACGGCGCCACTCCCGGACGATTCCGTTGCACGCTCCCCGTCGTAGGCCTTATCTCTCTCATGTGTTTTATTAATTATATAAATTGTTCATTTTCTAGGGGTGGGCTCATAATTATGAAACGGTGCAAAAACGAAAAGAGTTATTATAGAGAAATTCAAAAAAGTGACTCCACTGATAATGACAGAAAATTCCTAAATGGCTGCTTATTCTAGACATGTAAAATTTAGGGTGAGCCTATAATTATGAAACACACTGTTACTTCCTGAAACTACATATGTGATCTTATTGGAGTACAATTACACGGAAGAGTAATGTGTCAGACTTAAGAAAACAAAAAAGCACCTGATTCATGGGTATCCTGTCGCGCGCATCCCATTCTGATGGAACTGACGCAGACAATATTGAAGAAGTAGGGCTAAGTGCTTCCATTTAGCATGAGCAAAAGAATGCTGAATGAACTCAAATAAGAATTCGGCTCTATGTGCTATTCATCTATCCTGAGGTACATACTTAATTTGGTGCTAACTTAGTTGGGGGGGGGGCACGCGGCGGCGCGGCGCTCTGTTCGTCTGCTCCTCTAAGGCTTAGTCCAAGGGGCAGTTACTATTTCGTCGCCACGTGGCAGTTTCGAAATACGCGCCATCGGCGGACTAAGCCTAGGAGCAGACGAACAGAGCGCCGCGCCGCCGCGTGGTCCCCCCCCAACTAAGTTAGCACCCTAAATTTTAGAGAAAGATGAGAAACCGGTCCCTTTGCAGCTCCTAGTTCCTCGATCTGCACGTTCACCCTCTTCAACAATGTGCAAGTTTCCATTCACATTCATGTAGCCTTAGCAGTGGTGATGCAGTGGTTAGAAGAAATTCATCCAATCCTGGTCTTTGAATTTTGAAGGAGACCCTCTAGCCTAGGTTGAGCAGCAGCCGATACCAAAATTGACAATAAGATGACCCTATTAAAATGCTGTAACTGGAGTACTACGATCTCAGTTATAGATTTACAGATTACATGAGTTCGTATAAAATCTCTCGCAATTCTTGAAAGTGCTTTTTTCTATCTACGTCTGCTCCAGTATTTTGACTTTGAGGAGATTACTATTCAAGACGCACAACTTTGCCCAACGTGGATGACTTAGGCGAACGCGATCGCCAGCAAGGTGTTCAACTACATACAGTATTACTCCTTTACAGAGTGATGGCTGAAGTCTTCTGACCGAAGTAAGAATGAAGGCGTCCAATAGTAGGCGTCGCAATACTGGATTGAAAGGAACGAGCACTCGCCGCAGCCAAGGTACAATACCGCTACTAATTTTTGTTCAATCGACGGTTTGCGACGGTCGGAAACCGTCGCAAACCGTCGGCTCGCCATAACTCTTTAAAAAATGGTTCGCTCGACCTGCAGTTTATACCATCTGATAGCTCTGCTCGAGATCTACAAGATGGTTAAATTCAATTTCTGAAAGAGCTCCATCTAGGATTGCGCCATGCACTCGACCTCCATCCCGAGAAGTAATGAATATACTTTGTATGTGATGCGCATATAAGTCCTCCTATGCAGCCTGATCATCCCACAGAAACATGGATCTCAACACCCTCAGAATACGCCACGTACCCAACCGGTCCACCATATGGTGAGACTGAGTGAATGTTTTTTTTTCGAATTTCACGATCTTTACTTCGTTTTAGAGTGCTAATTGGCTAACCGTGCGCTGATCAACCCATTCTTCCACTCCAAATGAGAATCTTCGAACAGTTTCCAGCAGTAGTAGTAGACCTATTATGTGACATTCCCCACATTTAGAGGAGATGATTTGCGGAAACCTGAGAAGATAGCCAGGAATCTCTCCACAGACGTAGACTCCAGTTACTTCTCTGTAAGATTGATGTAGAATATTTGGTCACGGGTAAGCGCTCCGTCCGTGGTGTGGCCCCAAACATCACTCTCCGTCATGCCCTAAAATGAAAATCAGAGTTTTTGCTCTTCCAGATGACTCTACAGAGCTGAGGGGTGCACCGTTCGATTTCCCATGAAAAATACTACCGAATGGTGTACAACTCAGGTTTCACACAAAACTTTGTTTTTCTCACTTTTTTGCTCCCCATTGCCGATCGTCCTCCCAGCCCTTGGCGCCACGTGCGATTTAGCGAGAAATTCTCTCCACCGACGTGGACTCCGGTCACTTGTCTGTAGGAATGAGGTAGAAACCTTGGTGGCAGGTGAGTCTTCCTTCCGTAGTGTGACCCCAAACATCACACCTCGTCATGCCCTTGCGATATGATCAGATTTTTTTGGTTCTCCAGATGAACATAGAAGACTGAGATGTGCACCATTCAATTCCCCATAACAAATACTGTCGAACGGTATACAACTCACTTTCTGGAGAACATCTAGTTTACCTGCCACTAGATCCATTTTGTGACATTTCCCAATTTTCGAAGGGATGTTTTGAGGAAATTCGAGAAGGGAGGGACGAACTCTCTTCCCTATCGTAGAGTAAGTTTACTTGTATGTTGGAAAAAGATGATACACTCGGGCTTGAGCGAGTGTTTCTTCCCTGGTGTGGCCTCAAACATCGCTCTCCGTCATGCCCTGAAATAAAAACCAGATTTTTTGGTCTCCCAGGTGGCTCTACGGATCTGTGGTGTACACCATTCGATTCTCCATGCAAAATGCTATCGAACGATATACATCTCAGTTCCCACTTGAAACTTTCGTTTTTCACCGTTTTCGGCCTTTTCCTTATCGCCGATCGCCTTCCTCAGCCCTGGCCACTCACGTGCGCGGTGCGTGGTGACTTTCCCACGCACTTTCGACACGCATAGCGGTGTATCGATCGGGCTGCCCGCCAGCTACCGAGAAAGGCCATCGGCTGTCACGTGAGCTCTCACGCTCCGCGCACGTGAATAGCACGTGGGTGGCCAGGGCTGAGGAAGGCGATCGGCGATAAGGAAAAGGCCGAAAACGGTGAAAAACGAAAGTTTCAAGTGGGAACTGAGATGTATATCGTTCGATAGCATTTTGCATGGAGAATCGAACGGTGTACACCACAGCTCCGTAGAGCCACCTGGAAGACCAAAAAATCTGGTTTTATTTCAGGGCATGACGGAGAGCGATGTTTGAGGCCACACCAGGGAAGAAACACTCGCTCAAGCCCGAGTGTATCATCTTTTTCCAACATACAAGTAAACTTACTCTACGATAGGGAAGAGAGTTCGTCCCTC